AGTTTCTAAAAAGGAAACTAGAAAAGATGATTGATGAAGGTACTGGTGGCAGTCGAACCGTCGACAAAGAACGAAGGCTTGACAAACTCTAACAACGAATCGAGGGGGATTATGAAACCCTTTATAATATCACGCAGATGCTGACTGCGTTAAGGTTTGAAAGGAATCACGAGCCCAAGGAGAAGTAAGCTGATAAGAATTTGCAGACTTTAACTGCTGTAAATGTTGGTTGCTTCAACAAGATTAAAATAAGGTAACAAGTGGCTACAGAGTTTCATCAAGTCCCAGTTAAATTTAAATACACACAAGTTATAGGATTTTACGAAACTCTATCGAGAAAATATAAAAGAGTCCAATTTGAAGCGCAATAAAATTTTTAAAACACGATGCACCATAAATAACAAAGTATGCAAAGTAATAATAAATCATAAGAGTAGTGAGAACTTGGTGTCCAAAGCATTGGTGAAAGCTTTAAATTTGAAGACCGAAAAATACTCATCTTGCTATCAAGCTTCCCAGAGACAAAAAATTCAAAATATGGAGATATGTAAAATTTTACTTTCTCTTGGAAAATATTACAAAAATGAGATTATATGTAACGTGGTAGAGATGGACGATTGTCATATACTTTGAGGACAATCATGGTACTACGATGTAGATACCACTTATATAGGTCGAGATAATAGGTATGTGTTTCAGTGGTATGATAAGAAGGTTGTTTTGGTGTCATGTCACGAACAATTTGTGAGTACTAGTGTAAACAAAGAGAAAAAGATCCATAAGGCAGATGATGAGGTTAAAAAAAATGTAATTCAAAATAATCAAGATATTAACGTCCATGATACTAAAACGGAAAAAGAAAAACATGTGCAAGTTGAAAATCCAAGACCTACTAATTCCTTGTATATGAAAATTGTAATTGAAAACTTCAAGATCGAGCCGCATTCCCAAGTTGAAAAAGTTAAAGATCATAAGTGTCCAGTAGGAGTGGAAGAAATTAATTTTTTCAATAACAAATGAGTCAAAAGTGAAGATTGTCAAATTGAAAATAAATAATCTATGGACTTTTTCTACCGCTTTAGTGTCAAAGAATTGCATAAAAATAAAGAAAATATGAACGACAAGGAATTGAGTCCGTGTGCCAGTTCTTTTGTATTGAAGAAAGCATCACTAAACATTACAGCGAAATGTGAGAGTATGAAGAATTGAAAATAGCACAAGTAGCCTATACCGAAAGCGAACTCAATGATGAGAAACCGAACCATGATTCGTTTACGAAGAATGTCATGTACAAATTATCCATAACAAGCATAATGAAAAAAAGTTGACTTTGAAGAACGCAACTGAAGAATATAATGTTTAACGAGCACGTCGAAAAATTGAAATTTCTTCAATATTAGTATTGACGGAAATTTTTGAGCATCTTCCTCCCGATTGATTTTCTTTTCTTTAACCAAACTCGAGGACGAGTTTTTTTTAAGTAAGAGAGATTGATGTAGTACATCACAACTACAATTAATATTTTCAATTTACCTAAAAGTTTATCTTTTTTAATCATCTTTTCTAGTTTTCTTTTCTACTTGTAATAGGTTTTATTCTCAAGTCTTTAGATTAGGATTAGTTTATTTTCTTTTAGAATTTAGATTTCTTATTTTGGTTTCCTTATATTAATAAGATTATGAAATAATTTTGTCAGTAGAGACATCATAGACATTTTCAACATAAATTATTATTCAATAACATGCAATCAAGTTATTTCAATATTGCTCTTAATTACTACATAATTCTTATTACAAGAATTTCATAAACGCTTACACACCATGACTTAAGGCTGGCAGCTTGATTGTGGGCCCAATTGTTAAACATTCTGACACAACCAGATTAGACGATGGAACACAGCTCATAAAGCAGCAATCTAATAGGATTGAACTACTACTTTAAGGATTTCCCTTGAATGCTAATTAGGTTATAGAGTAGCAAAAACATAGGTTTCAAAATAACATGCATACACACGTAGACGTGTCTATGTTTCAGCTCATACAGAAGGTTACATACCTTTGCACCATACCTTTCCTTTAACTCCATAT